GTAAAATACCAATTAATTAATTTACTTAATATTTAATCATACATAACACGAAAACACGAAAAACACGACAAATAAATGTTAAATCGTGTCAATTTCGTGTCGAATTTTGAACACAAACACGACAAGACACGACATCATGTTTTTTACACTTGACATGAACACAAATTCAAATTTCAGTTTCGTCCCAATTTCGTTTCGTGTCGTATATTTTTGTCATGTCGTGTCATCAACTGTCACCCCTAGTCCAATGCATGCCAATCGCAGTACAACCTGTTAGAACATGGATCCAACATATGAACACGTAGGGAAGGATATATAAATTTATGTTGGTCTGCAGATTGATCATTTTGTGAAGATATATAATGGTGTTTCGCACGGTTGGACTGTCAGATGGAAAGATGATGATGAAATCGCGGTGAAGTGTGCAAAAGAGGCGCATGAGGATCTTGTGGCTTGGTTTGGCAAGTGTCTTGTATAAAACCAGTCGACCACATAATAATGTAAAACAAAGAGAGATGGAGATGATGGAGAAAACTCCATTTACAAATAAATAAAGTGTTGCGAAGACTTTCTAGTAAGTTTTTAATACAAAGTTAAAATTGTGATTTGGATCGTGAGGTTGTTGTTTGATGAATTTAGTTTTATGTAAACTGTGATCATGATACGTGTTGATTGATTAGTAACAACGAGAGGATTGGTCCTTAAGGTTACATGGGATGGTTCTATATTGGATAAGTGTTTTATGACTAAATTTGATTATTAGGGTGAAGTTATTTATGTCTTTTGCACATTTGAGAGATCGAAAATGAGTCTATCCAATCTTCAATCGTTTTATGCTTATATCGGACTGGTCAGAACCAACACGCTTGTTGTTAGTCCAAATCAAGAATAAAACACTAATAACTGAATATAGGTGAACATAAAATATTTATTAATTACGATTTCTGAACAAAGAGAATAAAGTGTAAAAAATCACAGTTTATTAGCACATTCTCTGATTTCTCTATGAAAGCTAAAACTTTTTGATCTCACAAAACTCATGCACAAAAGTATATGAAAGCCTAGAATGAGTACTACATAAATACTAATCTAGAATAGATTTGATATACTCGGTGAAAACATAATACTTTTCTTTTTTCGAACGGCAAATTGAAATAAAAGCTAGCGAAAAACTAGCTAAACAAAAACAAAACAATTAGTTCAAGACAAGGTTTTTCAACCAATAAGTCCAATTTATGCTAGCCTTACGATTCCTAGCACTATATCAATTAAAAGAGAAAGAAACAACGGAATCAAACAAAACTTCATTTTTCATAATACTTTAGTTATTATATTGAATGCAAACTTCTTAGCTTTATCTTGGTTTTGTACTTCAAAATGAATTGATCTTCAATATATTTAGATATCTAAGACTGAGTTTAAGGTAGATCTTCACCAGTGTCGATAAGAACTCTGCAAATGTAATTAATAGTCTTAAAATCATTAAATCAAAGGGTTCAATCATAACAATCTTCCCAAATTTGACGATGTCAAAACCAACTACAAAATTTACAAATAAAAAACCAATCTCTACACGTCTCTTATAAAACCCAATATTTTTCTATATTTTTCATTTTCCCTAAATAAATCAACGAAAGAAATAAAAAATACATCGGTTTCAACCAATCTTTGAATAATCTTGAAACTATTCAACTTTGTCCAAAATTCCCTTCTTGATCATTGATAAATTTTGGATCTTTCAATTTTCTCTCCTTTTAGACAATCTAGAGAGATTAGCATTTGATAGCCTTTGCCAACTCTGTCTATTATATGTATTTTAGACTTATACATTTCCATTTTTCCTCGACTTAGCATTACATAAACCACCAATTCACTTGTTGTATTCTACAATCATAACAAAATACACATGTTATATTTATCTAAACTTTCAAGGATGTTAATATTCTCTGCATGCATACATGTATCGCAGGCAGACATAATAAAAATGGGTTAACCTGGAGAAAAAGAAGAAAATATAAGAAAGAAGGTGACATATGATGAGATGCACCAAAATCCAAGATCCATCATGATGAAGTAATACTTGAAGTAGTAGATGAAGACAAACCTAAATGAAACATAGATGCTTACATGTAATCAATATTCAAAGCAAGGAACTGTTTAAATTGCTAAAAAATATAATGATCCAAACCAGAAGATGGTGTGGTGGTAGCATGAACCTTGGTTTCTTGTGTGGGTGCAACATTAGTAAATTATGGTAGACGAGGATTATGTGGCTAGGATGGTGGCTGAAACGATCAAGTTGGTTTGTTTTAATATGGAGGAAGTTATAGTTTCTGTGCCTTGTTAAGTAACAATGCTAAGTAAGAATTCTAATAGTTATTCTACTTGTAGAAAGCACATTAATCAAAAGTAAACTTTAGGGGCCGGTCTATTATGGTTTGAAGATTATGGTCATTATGGAACAAAAAACATGAGGATAGGAAGATACTTTAGGCACTTTATCTTCCTGAGACTTGTACCAAGTTTTCTTTACAATCAATTTATGAATCACCGATTCAACGATAGGAAGTGGGGTGCAATGAAGGATTGTTCCGTATAGTCCTTTGAAGTCAGACTGTAACGCCATAAAAACTAATGAACCAAACGCCGCTCTTCCATCCTAGCAATGTAAGGTCTGAAACCTTTCAACTCAATTGACTTTGTACGAGCTAACTGATCCCATAAATAAGACAATGCAACATAAAAATCCTGAGCACACATAACATTCTATTAGAGGGCTCGAATATCACATTGATACTATTTAACAAAAATTGATTGGGTGTACAACATATCCAAGTGGTTCCAATTCCTTCGACGTATCACACTTAGCCAATTGGATGCCAATTGATAGAATAACATAATTGTTGATCCAAGTAATAATCTTGGAGTTATCAATCTCCAATATATTAAGTAAAGTTGCATAATTAGTGACTTTCTTATCTGGCGGTTTTCCTTTTACACCGACAATAATACCCCTTATTTGTTTACCATGTAAATTTTTTTTCATTACATTACTACATAACATTAGGCATACTCTTTCCACAAGTTAAGTATTAACCGACCGAAGATAATCATCTTTTGGAGCCATAATGCCAATAATCCAGAAAAGAAACTTATAACCAGCACACAAAAACAAGTACTAAACCCATAACAAACGACGACAACAAGAATTAGATACTAATGAAATCGGAAAACACACCCAACAAAAAAACAAGATCGAAACCAAAAAACTTGATACATAATAGTGGTGCTTGCTATAAAGTCGTCTACGATCATCAAATCAATAGTCATGTATCGACTCTAGTCATGAAATCAATAGTCATGTATTGACTCTGATAACATGTAAATTGATAAACATAAACAGAAAAACGGCTAGGGTTTATTATTAAAACGAAAAGTTGATTAAAAAACAACTATAAATATAAAAGGTATTTAAGATTAACTAGCAAGCTAAAAGGCTAAATAAAAGCTTCATATAAGATAAACCCAAATACTCTATTAAATGATAGAATTGTGTAGTTAACCTGTTTCGGAAATGTTTGAACTTTATGTAACTCTAGCTACTCGCTTTTGTATAAAATTATTGTTGTTGGAAAAGATAAAAGATATCTTGGGGTTCTTATTTATCATAGAGCATACATACAGTTATTAATGTAATAATTATATATAAGAATCTGATACCGCCTTTATTGAATTAAACGATAACTAAAAGATTAAATTTATAAGCACTTAATAATTTTATTGAGGCATTAACACTCGCATACATTTAAAGTAAACAAAAACAGGTAAAATTAGTACGTATATGACTATATGCTCACATTTAATGACCGAAACGAAATATATATATATATATATATATATATATAATATATATATATATATATATATATTAAAAGTACTCCTAAATCCAAATATGTCCACACCTCGTACCATGGGCTAGAAACCTTTTGGTTGTTATCATTTAATTAGGGCCAAATCTCATAAAATCTTTCATATTTGTCAAAAATATTTGAATATATCCTAAATTAATGTCCTTCTATTTGCCAAAAAAATGTATGTTTTTACCTTTTAATTACTTGTGATAATAAGTTTTTCAAGTTATCATGGTATTAACTTTAAAAATATATGTTTTTAACTTTTTACTAATAATAACAAGTTTTTCAGGTTATCATGTGATATTAATTTTTAAGAAAACTTTTAAATTTATAATTTTTTTATAATGTTTTTAACCTTATGTTTACAATTTTTTTTATTTTTTTTTATTTTTTATTTTTTTTTACATTTTACTTATATGTATTCATGTGGAAAAACGTATTTATTGGCAAATATGAATGCATCAATGGAAATAAAAACAAATTTAATAATGTTAACTTGAAAAACCTGTTATCACATGTCAAATGGTAAAACCGGATATTTTTTTGACAAATATGAGGGCATTAATGGACATTAAAAATGATTTAGGGTAAAACCGAACATTTTTTACAAATGTAAAGACTTTTATGGGATTTGGCCTTTATATATTTGTTCCCGGTACATATGAAAATTAATGGTAACAATATGTTAAATTAGCTCTCATGCTTTAGTCTAATTTTAAGCATCAAATGCTCTCTTGTGTTGCTCTAAATAATTCATGTAATTATACAATCTCTTACGCTTCGTGTCTTTGTTGGACCCATTGACTTTACGTGTTATATATTCCGAAAACACAGACATCATTGATCTCGAGTGTAACACCTAACACATCTTCTATCAGGTTCTTTATTTGTTACTTATTGTCATTAAGCCAAAAACAAGGGAGTTGTATACTCTAAGCATTCCATTAATAAACAGGCAAAGAATCATCCAACACCAAATCGGTATCAATGTGCAACGTACTAAAAGCCCCCAAACTACAAACTATGGGTATCAATGTGCAAAGTCTCAAAACTTATGTGTATGATTTGTAGTACCTTAGAAACCCCAGGGTACCAGAGTGCACCAAGCTACCAACCCCTCCATTACAAAATACCCTAAAACTACGCATATTCCACAAGCTACTTCATTATACACAATGTCTGGCTCGGAGTGCCTCGAGAACCCTCCTGCATTGGTCTCCGGCGGTGAATCCGGCAATGTTTTGCAGATCGCCTCCCTCAATTCTTATGTTTCCGGGAATGCTGATTCAAAAGTCGCACTTCTTTTTATTTCTAATATACATGGTACTCAACTCAACTCTAGTTGTAATTTTCTTTCTGATCAACCAAGTCTGCTAGTTGGTGTTTCCAAAATTAGGTGAAATTCCGCAAATAATTTACTTATCATGAAGCTAATTCATTAACATACTTTTGCAAAGTGAATTTGATTGCAACATGTTAAGTATGTACGAATCCTAGCGTTTTGGTTTTATGATTTTGCAAGTCCAAAATAGTTTGTATGAACGTCAGCTAGCTTGCTCTAATTTGTTTGTGTCTGGTACTTTTTGTGCAGGCTATGGAGTTCCAAAATTCAGGTATGCCTTGTAGCAAGAACAACACCTTATATTAAAAAACTCCTTTGTTTGTGGTTTACTTTAAGGTTAAATGCTAAAAATAGAAAGTAATTTTATTTTTATTTATCAGTGTATTATAGCATCCCATTTTTTATTGGGACGTTGTAGACTTGTAGTTCCATTTTCTTTGTTATTATGAAGCTACTTCCAGTTTTTATTTTTATTTTTATTTTATTTTTATCATGCACTATATTTTAAAAATCGTCAATTATATTGGTAAAAATTGATTTGCATTTGAATGATATATTGATATTACTATTATATTGGATAGATTTTTCAAAACGCAATGAATTAAGATGCTGTATAAATATACGAATTACTGGATATACGCTGTTATTTATTTATTTATTTTCATATAACCCTTCAATTTGTTGATCTAAATTTGTAGGAAACTTGCCGACAAAGTTGCCTCTGCTGGATATTATGTAGTTGCCCCTGACTTCTTTCATGGAGACCCCATAACTCCTGAAATTCCGATTTCAGATTGGCTAAAGAATCATGGACCGGTTGGTTATTAAATTTTATTATTCCTCCATCATAAATATCCAATTCTCTTAACAGCAATATTTCTTCTAAACTTAAAAAAACACTATTCCTTTTTTTTTTCCATATCTTTTTTAGGTAGAAGCCGTTGAACCTGCCAAACTGGTTATTAAGGCTCTTAAAGAGAAGGGTATAACTAAAATTGGCGCTGCAGGATTTTGTTGGGGTGGTAAGAATAAAGTTTATTTACACCAAAAATGACAAACTTTCAAAGGTTATTTTCAAAGATGTGGAAGAGGAAAGGCAATAATGTCTTTTACACATAGTGATGCCTAGTCCTACTTTCATTTTGGGTGCGACTTGAATTTTTTTTTCTCATTGACATCAGAACAATGTAGTGTTCTGTCCTTTATTAAGTAAGGGCATAATGCTATTATGTTAATTATAATTTCCTGATTTAATTGCACCAACCTGTTCTAATAGGCAAGGTAGCTGTAGAGTTAGCAAAGGAGGCTGATATACAAGTTGCTGCTCTCTTGCATCCTTCATTTGTCACTTTAGATGATATCAAGGGTTGGTTTTAATTTTATTAAATAATACTCTTCATAATTACTCCTTTCTAGATAGGGGTCCATGTTTGGATTTATCAAATTTAAGCCAAGAAGTTATTTTTTGTAATTTCTATTATGAATTTTAGGGGTTAAGGTTCATACTGCCATACTCGGTGCTGAGATCGACAATAAATCGCCACCGGAACTTGTCAAAGAATTTGACCTTGCTTTACAAGCAAAACCAGAGGTAATTAATTTCTTCTAGGCATTGTGAAGTGTACATTATGTCTTCCACCTTTCTATTTTTTAATTTATTTTTATTTTTTGGGGGATGGAGGGACAAAAGTTTGCCATTAATTCCCATTGACATGAATCTAAGTCCTAGTTCTGGTTCAATACATGCTAGCATGTATTGAAAAACCTAATTTGCCTTGTTAAATTAGGCCATATATCTGAACATGTAGCGAAGGAGATATTAATTTTTTCTGGTATGGTTAACTACTATGGCTATGCAGGTGGATCACTTTGTGAAGATATATGGTGGTGTATCGCATGGTTGGACGGTTCGATATAAAGATGAAGATGCAGAAGAGGTGAGATCTGCAGAAGAGGCTCATGAGGATCTTCTGGGTTGGTTTAACAAGCATCTTGATCCAAACCGTTCAATAATATAAAGAAAGAGAGAGATCGAGAAAAATGTGACACCCCTCTACAAGTAAATAATGCGTCATCATAGACGTGCATTTACATTTTCGACTTTTTGAATAAATGCTTACATTAATAATGTCACATCCCGATATTCACATTATAAGTCTTACACATGTTATATTACATATTTAATTATAAAAGTGAGTCTTAGCGGAAGTCTTAAATATTATTTATTGCCTTTGATGCAAGTACAGACGGGAGCTTTTCCTCGATCCGAAGAACAACCTGCAAAACAGTTATTCAACAACTGTAAACCGATGCTTAGTGAATTCCCTCAAAATACCACATACCACAACATATATATAATACATACACATAATGGCCTTCGCTTAATAGCTGGTTCGTACCTTGGCCTTCAGCTATATGTTGGTCCACCCTATATAGCCTTTAGCATGTAGCTGGTCCACCCTCAACACAATATATATATATATATATATATATATATATATATATATATATATATATATATATATATATATATATATATATATATATATATATATGAAGGTTGTAGAAATCGCTCGGGGTAGCTCGGCGATGGACTGATTAATCGTCTAGGCGGGGATTAATCGGGGACCATTAATTATTAAAAAAATTAATAAATATAACACTAATCCTAAAAATATAACATTAATAAATATAACATTATATCAATTAAAAAAATTATTAAAAAATTAATAAAGATAGCACATAACAACAAACTATAATTACAAAAAACCCCTTTGATCCTTAATACATCACATCTAAATAACCAACTACTGCATTTGGATCTAAGTTATCAAATGAAAACAGGAAGAATCCATTATTGTGAGGCATGATTTCAACTTATCAACATGTTGTTGCACCTTATCAGCATTAACACTTTCATTTTGAGTTCATAACCAATCGATTCTTATGTCCTGTAATGCACAATCCATTCTTGTGAGGCATGATTTCACCAATCAATTCATATTACATGTTTGTCTATCAGTGTTTGTATGCATAAGTGCATAACCAATCCATTCTTATATGTAGCATTTATTCCAACAACAACAGTTAAATCCAATAAATATTGCTAAAGTTTTAATCAAGAACCCATGAATACCAATACCTTGCTTTGATAATCAAGACTACAATATTCACTCAGGCAATTGATCGAACACTTGGTGGGCAAATGGTTTCATACACTAATCGTGCGATTTCCTAATAATCTAAACCACCATACATACATAAAACCAATCTGTGTCGAGGTTGAAGAACTAAGAAACATGAAACTAAGATTGAAAAACAAATCCGTAAGAGATGGATTACCCACTAAGCAAATTTGATAACAGGGCTATGTAGATTTTTTTCTGAGGCAATACATCTTCCAATAGGGCGGAAGGGGCCAGAGGGTCGTCGAACGGCGGCAATGAAGTGTGAATCAGGTCGTCGAGGATATCAGGAATCAGGTCGACAGGCGGATGGTGTTGGAATTAGGACGTCGACGCATCCACAAAGCCTAAAATTAAAATTACAGATAAAAATAAACGATTAGATGTAATCATGTAAACCAAATCGAATTCAGACTATAAATGATTAAACAAAATCCCAACAACCACCACGCTTCCATGGCCGACGATCATCGTCTTCAAGGTGATTGTTCGATGGATCCTGGGGAAGCTTCATCTCGACCTAATCCTAGATTATGAACTGATGAATTTCATCTCGACCTAATCATGGGTAAGTTTTGTGTTTCCAGTGAAGAAGGAGGGTGGTTTAGAGGGTGTTCGATGGAGTTGTGAAGAAGGAAGTTTCGTGTTTGCATCCCACATCGCTCGTGTTTCCAGTGAAGAAGAAAGTTTGGTGTTTGCATCCCACATCGCTGGTGGGACAATAGATGAAGGCACACATATCTTATAAAAGGAGAGTTAGTTCCTTTAAAAAATCACAACCAACTACTTGGTGGGCTAAGAAAAACCGACCCAACTATATTTTGGGCAAGCGGGCTCCTTTGAGCCGGCGGGTTGGAGTCATTTATGTCCGATTTTAGGTCCGAGTTGGGAGGAATTAGTCCGATTTGGACCGATTTGGACCGTCTTTGACCGATATTGACCAAGGCCGACTAGCTTACCGATAACAACTATCCGTAAGCGGTTGGAGTCCGCCAAGCGCCTAGGCGCCGATTAATCGGCCACCTAGACCGATTTTTACAACCATGATATATATATATATATATATATATATATATATATATATATATATATATATAACATAGCAACAATTCACATAACAGGCATCTAACTATCCTAGTCTAATTGGCTATTTGAATTCTACATGACAACTATATCCTAACATACAGAGGATACATAGTGGAGTATACAATATAGTGAGAAGAACTCACCTTGTCAGTTTCTCAGATGGTTAACAGCTAATCGAGTGATCCAATTGGTGAGTATGCGCCTAACGTTGTTAACCTATAACACTAGAGATTATTAGTCCCTAGGGAAATATGGTAATGTAGCTTAGACCTATCATCAATCCCAGTAAATTCTAATAGCTCTATCAAATAAGGATCAGTCAGGCAAGACAGTTGGCATGCATGACCATTTCGGCATATAGCTTTTCTGAAATCCAACAACCAAGCCAGCATAACCATTCTAGACACCTCTCATGTAAGTAGATCAATAAGTATTATAACTTGGAATTAATGACGAATCTAGCATTTATAGGTTCCTAATAAGGACTATAATTACGAATATAAGTTGTTCTAAAAAGCCTAGTAATCATAGCTTCACTTACAGAGATTCCTAGCGAAAGACCCGAAAAGTCACGGGCAGGACACTGATACTGAGCATACTTCTATTTCTACAGATTTCTGATGTTGTAGGGCTTCGGTATAAGCGTCTAAAAACTATTAAAACTGATACTCGAAAGTTCTTGAGGATTTGAGAGGATATGGGATGAGTTTTGGAGGAATTAAGCAGAAAAAAAAGGTATTTATAGCCCTGGGAAGGCTGCGCGCTGTGCACCTGGTCCCCTGCGCGTTACGCATATGGTCAGGGCCGGTGACCTGGAAGCTCCCCTATGGTGACATGTGTCGATCGATGGGTACAGGTGTCAGGCGCGCAGCACATCTGGTCAGTGCGCATGGCTGTGCGCGAGGAATTCTGATTTCTTAAAAATTGCATAACTTCTCCGTACGAGCTTCGTTTTTGAAGGGTTTTAAATCCACATGTATCTATTGACGAGATCTACAGCTTTCATTTAGACCCTGTCGGCTAATTTTGACTTTATTTTTAAAGTTATATTTTCACAGGCTTAAACTGTTAAAGTCTGTGTAAAAATCATAACTCTCTCATACAATATCCGTTCTTGACTGTCTTTATATTGACAGATAGGTATGGACGAGATCTTCGACTCTCGTTTAGATTGGTTTTCCTAACAAATCGACCGATGTCAAATTTGGTTTATAGAAAGCACACTGCTACGCTGAAAGTACTAAAAATCATAACTTCCTGAATTGAAGTCAGATTTGGACGTTCTCTATATGCATGCTCTCGGTTTGACTGTTTGACAACTACTACGACTCTTGTTTAGATGACTAAGGCTAATAAGTAATATATCTTCGATTTGTATTTTACGATGCACATAGCCGTGTCGGTTTAATTGTGGAACTTCGAAGAATCATAAGTTTTTCATACGAAGTCAGATTTACGGCTTCTATATATACGGAAATTGTACTGATTTTTTTTTAAATAAAGACGAGGATTATTTGGGCATAAAAGTAATGTATTTCTACTTTGTATTTCATAATAACTGTTTGTTATTACCATCTATGGGAGTAGCAAAAATGGGGTGTTACAACTCTCCCCCACTTACAAGGTTTCCATCCCCAAAATCTAACTAAATAACTCTGGGTAGTTGCTCCTTATCTCTTCTTTATGTTTCTTAGGTCCATTCGAACCTTTTCAAGTGCTGCTACTAGACTTTCACCAGACTGATTACCTTATTGCATAAGGTCTTTGTTTTCTTATGTAGAATTTCTACTTGTCATTCTACATAGATTAGATGCTTGTCTATGTGAATGTCCTCTAAAGGTACAATTGTAGATTCATCCGTAATACACTTCCTTAATTGGGAGACATGAAAAGTGTTGTGGATCTGAGTGAGTTCCTCTGGCAGATCCAGACGGTAGGCAACCTTGCCTTTTCGAGAAATGACTCTAAATGGTCCGATATATCTTGGGCCTAACTTGCCCCTTTTTCGGAACTGAATGACACCTTTCAATGGCGAAACCTTAAGTAATACTAGGTCTCCTACTGGGAATTCAAGATCTGATCTTCTTCGATCTGCATAACTCTTCTGTCGACTTTGTGTAGTCTTCAACCTTTCTCACACTTTCTGGATAAGCTCGGTGGTATTGATGACCACATCGGTGCTCCTCATGATTCACTGGCCAACTTCCCCCCAACATGTGGGCGTTCGACACTTTCTTCCATAAAACATTTCAAAAGAGGGTCTACCAATACTAGAATGGTAGCTGTTGTTGTACGAGAATTTCACTAATGGTAGATAAGCGTCACAACTCCCACCAAAATCAAGTACACATGCCCTTTGTTGGATTTGGTGTCTAAGCCTATAACTATAACTGGTATGTATTTGACCCGATTGTAGCATGGTTCTTTTGGGTTGCCTTCACCAGTGCAATTTGATATGATGGATTTTGAGAATAAGGTTATTTATGGTTTATTAATATATTACAAGTATAATATATTAATATGGAATTATTTAATTAGTATTGATCAAAATTAATTTATTAATTTTGTGGTCAAAAGAGACTAATTAAATATATGGGGGATTGATTATGTAAATCAATCATAATTGTAGTGTGGGCTAATGATCCATGATTATGGGCTAAACTAATCCATGGATAGTCTATGGAGGTTAAACCCATGGAGCATGAGAATGTGGAAAGTCATGGTTTATTAGGGCTTACCAAGTGTAACCCTAGCATGTCCAACACTATAAATAGAGCCCTCCATAGACCAAAATCAGTTTCACCTTCTATTGAGATAAATAGATTATTCTCTTAATTCATCCTCTTGCATATTGGTGTTTGTGAACCATTAGAGGCATCACACTTGAGGTGCTCAAGCTTTCAAAGGTCAAGAACTACAAGTCCTTCTAAGAGGTAAGCCATCTAACTAGTAGTATTGTTCATTTGACAATTTGTATGCTAGTTAGGAGAATGCTTTGTAAAATTGTGAATGCATGTATAATTAGAGAAAACATAGATCCAAAGCATTTAGGGTTGCATGTGCACTTAGGAAGTGTTATAGTGTTCAAAACCCAACAGTGGTATCAGAGCCTAGGGTTGTTTTCCATTATCTTTAATGCTTACTAGTTTTTCAAAGCTAAAAAAGTCGAAATTTTTGTCTCTGACTGGTGAACTTGCCGAGTACATGAACAGACTCGATGACTCCACTCAGTAAACAAGGCAACTCGGCGAGTCAGTTCTTGCCCTCGACGAGTTGAAGGCCTTGTTTGCAGAATTTCGAGTTTCTTGGCCTGTTTTGGATTAGAAGCATTACCACAAACTGTCTTTGGTTCATAAAATTGTTTTTAATGATATGGTAATGTTAATCCCCATCCAATAACTTAATATTTGTCAAATTCTAAGATAACTACTTGTTTTATGAAATGCTAGTTATTTGTACAATTTGAAGTTATCATGAAATATGAATCAAATTAGGTAAAATTGGTAAATGATCATCCTATCATAAGTGGATTAGTTAATTCGATTTATAATTGTTTCTTGAATAGTTCCATAACTTGTCCTCAAGTTATGGAATGTGAAAAATCACACCATTCATGAAACAATTATTTTTATAAGTTATGAAATACCAAGAGTCATGAAAAGTTCATAACTTATCCTCAAGTTATGGAATTGAAAGGGTCTCATTTATGCAATTTTAAATCCATAAGTTATGAATTTCAAAAGCAGTGACATGTTACAAAACTTGCCGTCAAGTTTTGGAACTTAAAAAGTTACATTAATGAAACTTTAATTCTAAACCGTAGAGTTTTAAAAGTTAAAATTCAACCCTTATACTTTATAATATTATAAGTTTAATAATATATATATATATATATATATATATATATATATATATATATATATATATATATATATATATATATATATGTATAAAACAAAGTCGGTCTTACCGTTAGTAGGCCTCATTCACGAAGCCGGTCTATAAGGGGGGTATAAGGTTACTGCCTATAAAATGGCAGTTTAATGGGTGTCCACTCTCACCCACCGCTTCCTTGACTGGTGGAGGGTCGTTAGCCGAACGGGTAGGATAGGACAATTAATTCTCCCTCATTAAAAGTATAATGATAAAAAATATAAAGTAACTAAACTTTTATTAAATTCCCAACCTTAGTTACTTTAGGAAAATGTGAAATGGTGCTAATCCATGAAATTACACTTTGCACATTGTTAAGTTGTTAGTGGAGCGCGTGTGGTTAACCGACACACTAATCTGGGATTGAAAATGTGTGGCAAAGGGTAACTTGGTGTTAATCATAGATCAATGGAGCGTATGTGGTTAACCGAAACATTAATTAGGTGATTTGTAACATTGGGTGTACCAAGTTAATTTGCATGGTTATTCACTCCTTGTTTGTGATCCTTGGCATCCCAGTCATAAACTTGAAGGGCACACTCGATATTTAAACATGCCATTGAAAAGTTCAATGAATGTCAAAGATCTAGGAATTTCAAACCAATTAAAACTTAATAATATTATTTCGTTTTTCATGGTGGAAATTAGTAAATCTCCATTTACCTACCTTCAAATATTTTTACAATTGGATTACGGCATCCCTATTCGCAATTGTAAAATATTATGTTG